TACCTAGTGAATGGAAGAATACTTATACCACTGACATAGGAAAACATATACATACAGTGTATGTGGAAATGTATGTGCTTTATGTAGGATTTATTAATCTCATTTTCGCAAACAAATTCTTAGAATACATTAGAATCCCTTCCTGAAATCCTGACTTGAATCGTTCACTTTCCAAAGAACGTATAGATTTCATGATTGCAAATCTGTTGTTCCCACCAGAACTGGTTCAAGTTCAAATACAACAGATTATATGCTTAGAATGACAGTCCAAATTGTATGTGTCCAGTTCAAATATAATATACACAATTGTGAAATTGAGATAGTGATTAACACGTTGAAACATGATTTCTTTTACTAAATTATTTTCAGTGACTTGACACCCAAAGAAAAAAAAAAGAATTTAAATTTAAATATGAACCACTTTTGTACATCTATTTCCGTAACGCCATAAGATACAGCGTGCCGTAATTTTGCGGTATTTTACGGGGTATTTTCATCCTACCGTATTAGGAAATTCGAATTCCAAATATGGAATGATTATGCGCGTTAGTGTCCTTTAATAATTAAAACAAACATGGCTGCCACCAGAGTTTGACCGGACTTCACACAAAGAAGTTTGCTGATTCTGTTCTAAAGATTTTAGATGTCGGCATACCTATGATGTGTTCTTGGAAACAAAAGATGTATAATAATAAGGATATTACGAGGATATCTCAAAGTTTGCTCTCAGATTTGTACTGCCTTTAAATTTGTCCGCAATTTCAAAATATTCACTTACTTTCCTTGGGGTCTTCGATGACGTCATCAGTACTAGTCACGTTAATATAGGCACTTGCATAACTGTAAACAAATATGAGCAACACATATTATATTTTTTATAGATGAGAACCATACATTAACGATACATAACCCCGTTTTTTGGTGCTGCTGTTAAATATACATATTTATGTGTCTCTGTCAATAAAACAACTTATGAGTAACATTGTAACAGTATGTCACAAGTAAGTGCTGGTTTCAGCCTCTAGTTCAAATAAATCTTACCCTTGCTTTGGACGTATACCTCCATCCGTGGCTATCAATGTTAAGTTGTAAAATCCCAAATCAGGTTTGTATTCAACACTTATAACTCCAGTGTTTTCATCGATATGAAACACTGTCTGTAAAACAAGTGAAAAAAGGAAACGGCAGTTTATTCAAATACTTTTGAAAACGATGTACATGTTTTACTAAGGAGAAACTTCATGACAAAATAAATCACGATTCACCTTCTAACGATTACTACAATGAAAGGCGCAACTCGAAGATTTTCAGATTCAGCGTCAGATTGTCAACGGTTGGATGAGGGATACAACGTAAACATGCTCGGCGTGATGCATTTTACTGAATACATTTGTATCTGCAGGCTGGCATGTTTGTATACACCACCATGACAAAATAGACGTATTGCTTGTACCCCATTTTCGGCCAGTGTCGTATTGAAATTATGATCGAAACACGCTGGTTATGCAATTTCAATATGCTTGGCCCTCTATGACAGAAGCGCTCATGACGTGTGACGAAATTTGGGGAGAATTCGTGGTACGATAATGTTCAATTGTAACTGGCACTGAAACGCCATGCTGTTTGCAAGGAAAACAATACAACCGCATTGAGGCTGTCAGCATCCTTTATTTTACTTTTTGCCATATTACCTCAGGCCCTGCAAATAGAAGTTTGCATGAAATCATGGGAAGAAACGGTGTCCATTGCCGTGTGATAACTGTGATAAACGTGATTGACCGGTCATACTTGTTTACAAATCTGGAAGGACAATTCGAATCTACGAGGCGTGATTGTGATTTACATAACAAAGGCTAATCACAATTCACTGAGTTGCCTACGTGAGACGGTTGATGGCAAGACCACATTCTGATTGGCTCATGTGAAAACCCAGGTGGTGTTCCTAAATCTGGGTCATTTAAGCCTGTAGATGGGCTAGACTGCGGAAGTTTTGTCCATCATTTAAACTGTGTACCCTGTGTGTAGCTACTGCGATATTGTGATACTGGTTTCAACTTTCATTCTATGAGGCTTTCTGAACTGCTTTTTGATCTCCTGCTCTCAGCGGTGCCTTCCAGAATAACAGCATTCCTCTGTGTCAGCATTCTTTATTCTATGTGTTTGTCATATTACATCAAACATGGGACGAAACGGTGTGCATTGTCATGTGATAACTGTCATAAAGGTGAATGACGGTCATACTTGTTTTCTTGTTTGGAAGGACAGTTGGAATCTACCAGGTGTGCTTGTGATTTACATAACAAAGGGTGTTTACAACTTTGGAATCTACCAATCTACCAGGTGTGCTGTTATTTGAATAACAAGGGATGTTTATGGTCTACTGAGTTGCCTACGTGACACAGCTGCTAGCAAGATCACATTCTGATTGGCTCACGTGGAAACCCAGGTAGTGCCACTGAATCATTCCTATAAATTAGACAGACTCAGGAATACTACTGACTTTATTCATTATATTTTTCTGTGCTTTATTTATTGTAATTCTTTTGAGAGGTATTAAATCCAGGAGCTTTAACTCGATATTTTGGTGTATGTGTATTTCATTTCCAGTACTAATGTCATGTCTACCCCATCTAGCAGTGAAAGAACCCCCTGTCCAGTGTGGCTTCTGTGGGTGGTCCTCTCAATTGCAATAAGCAGGTCTTACACTGTGACATTTTGGTGTTAGAAGTGTGATTGTAACTCTGATTCTAATTGTGATTCTGATTTGGATTTTATTTTCAGTAATCCCTTGACTAAATTGACTGTTTCGTAACTGCTCAGGTCTAGAGAACATGGTGTTGTCAGACCATCTTCTACTGCTAGGTAGACATTAAATTGCTTTATTTAATACTACTGGAACTTGATTTACATCTTTTCAAGCATGGATATTGTTATTGAACTCGAAGAGTTAGGTAGTAGATTGGGGTATAAGAGGGAAGAGCTGACTCAATTTGTGAGGGCAGGGCGTGAGAAAAGAGAGCGTGACGAGAGGGATGAGGGAGCAGCCAAATGTGAGGGTGAAAGGTTAAAAAATCAACGTTAAGCTGAACGTAAGGAAAGAGACAGAGAACATGAGGCAATAGAGAGAGAACAAGACTGTGAAGAAAAAGAGAAAATATGACAGCAAGAACGTTATGTGTTGAGATTGCGTGTGGAAGCTAATGGTCAAAATGGAAGCTTAGAACAGTTGGCACAGTCCATTGTTATTTGTAAGGGTCCAAAGTTACTGTTGTTTGACGAGACAAGGGACGAAATGGATGCATTTATTTTAAGATTCGAGCGATTTGCTGCAACTCAGAAATGACCGGGTGATAGTTGGGTTATGAATCTTAGTGCATTAGTGACAGACAAAGCTTTGTATGTGTTTTCTGCATTGACTGCAGCAAAGTCCATTGATTACAATGTTGTAAAGGCAGCTTTGTTGAAGGGTTATGATATTAATGAAGAAGGTGATATAAATAAATGATTTATTAGTGGATAGTCAATTGACTGGGGAGAGTCGTACCTGTGTGATCATAGATGGTACATGTCGGAAACCCTAAGTAGCTAGACTATATATAGATGCACCCTTCTATGTGTATGAGGACCCCAGTGTATGATCTTATAATTAGTAATATTAGTGGAGCTAGGGAGCCCAATGACCATGATATTGGTTGGAAGCTAGGTTTAGCTCATGAGGTAGAGCATGGTGAGTTTAGTTTGTCCTAGGGTGGTGAACGTAGTACTCCCTCGAGTGATGGGATTAGTATGCTCTCTGGTGGTGAAGGTTGTTGTCCTTCGGGTATTGAGACTAGTGTTCTCTCAGGTAATGAAGGTTGTACATATATTACTAGTCAGCCTAACATGCCCTATATGAATGAAGGTTGTTCTCGTGGTATTGAGAAAAGAGTGCTTTCAATTAGTGGGAGTGGTTGTGAACCCTCCAGTGATTCTAGTCAGACTAGGACTCAGAAGTTAGCTGAGAAGAAGCCATTACATAGGCTTATAGTTCCTGAATTTAAGGAATTGCATAAAAAGGTTGATACTAATGGTGGTAAAAAACCTATTACTGTGGATGCTGTGCGGGAGGCACAGCAGTTTGATTCCACATTAGAGCGTGCTAGGAAGTTAGTGAGTACAGGTGAGTAGTTGATCACAGGTCATAACAATCGGGCAAGGTTTGTGATGAATAAGGGGCTAGTGTATAGAGAGTTTCAGTCACTTCATGTTGATAGAGGATGTGTTTGTTCCCAATTAGTTGTACCATTGTGTTACCGTGATCAAGTATTAGCACTTGCTCATGAGTCAGTTATGGCAGGTCATCTAGGTGCTAAGAAGACTACAGATAGAATAGCAACTTAATGTTATTGGCCTGGTATGCAGAATGATGTTATTAGATATTGCAGGTCATGTGATATATGTCAGAAGACCACTCCTAGGGATCGTGTCGGCAAGGTTGAAGTTCCATTTCAAATGATAGATCAGTCCAGCGAATGAGATAGGTCATAGGTACATTTTAACTGTTGTCGAGTATGATTCTCGATACCCTGAGGCTGTAGAATTAAAGAAAATTACTTCAGAAGTGTTTGCCGATGCATTAGTCAGTATATATAGTAGGCTTGGTATAACCAAATACGTTTTAACTGATTTAGGGACACAGTTCGTATCCGACATTATGAAGGATGTGTGTAGAGTGTTGTCTATGAAGCAATAAGTAACAATTCCATATCACTCAGCACGTAATGGTTTGGTTGAGTGGTTTATTGCTACTTTGGAAAGTATGTTGAAACGTATGTGTCAAGAACGGCCCAAGGATTTGGATAGGTATCTTGACCCAGTACTTTAGGGTTTTCTTTCTTTGATCTTATCTATTGCAGAACAGTGAGGAGTTCAATGATGATTTTACAAGAGTTGTGGACAAAGGAGGCCACTACCCCAGAGGATAAACTACATACCAGTATGTCCTGGATTTGCAAAATCGGCTTGAAGAGACATAATTTGGCTCAAGCTGAGTTCGCTAAGGCAAAATGTAGATACAAAAAGTATCATGATAGGAAGGCCAGGGATAGGAAGATCCTACTTGGTGACAAAGTGTTGGTGTTACTTCCCACTGACCATAATAATTTGTTGATGCAATGGCAGGGGCCATATGTAATTAAGAAGAGAGTGGGTTTTTATCATACTACCTCAAACCTTGCAAATGGAAGTGTGCATAGAATCATGGAAAGAAACAGAGTGCATTGCCATGTGATAACTGTCATAAAGGTGATTGACTGGTAATGCTTGTTTTCAATTCTGAAAGGTCAATTGGAATCTACCAGGTGTGCTTGTGATTTACATAACAAAGGGTGTGTACAACTTTGGAAGGAGAATTGAAATCTACCAGGTGGGCTGTTATTTGAATAACAAGGGATGTTTATGATCTACTGAGTTGCCTATGTGACACAGCTGCTAGCAAGATCACATTCTGATTGGCTCATGTGAAATCCCAGCTGGTGTCACTGAATCATGCCTATCAATTGGACAGACTGGGGACAGTGGGGTTCCATCATTTCATCTTGGTATCCCATGTGGGCTGCTACGATATTGTGTGACAAGTGGTACAGGCTACAACCATCATTATGTGAGACTTGTATGAACTGCTTTGCCCTCCAGAATACCAGCGTTTTTCTGCAAGTAAGACTCCCGTATTTCTTCGTTGTTGTGTTGCAGAAGCCATTGACTGTCGTCCATTTCTATGTCCTGGAACTGTGAGTTATGACCATGCACACTTCCCCAGGCAATCTCCTATTTTAGTGAATTTATTCATAGTATTTTTTTGTGCTTTGTTACTTGTAATTATTTTGAAAGGTATTCAAACCAGGAGCTTTAACTTGATATTTTGGTGTATGTGTATTTCATTTCCAGTACTATTGTCTTGTCTACCCCATACGAGCATTGAAAGAACCCTCTATCCAGTGTAAGTTCTGTGGTTGGCCCACTCAATTGCAATAAGCAGGCCGTACACTGCGGCAGAGGGACTGTGGAAAACATCCCCGACAATATCGTTCATCAACAATATTACCAGACAACTTCAAAACTGTAATACGCGTATTCCGCGCATTGTTTTTCTGCAATACTTCAATACAAACACACGCAAACTAAAACAGGACAGACGACTTACAACAAAAATACTGTTTGCCAACATTAGCAACTCTCAAGGAGTTCTGGTTGCTTGTTTCCGGTCTCCTGTTGAACGTCTAGTGTAAGACAAAGCTAACCGACACTCACTATATTGTAACAGCTGCTATCAGGACAAAGCCTAGAATACACACACTAACCCATGGTCTATGAATGTCGTCTACAACATAAGCACACGGTTGCGATGTTATCGTAAACGTATACTCACCCTTTGATTAGGAT